TATGTATGGGTATATATAATAATAAATTTATTCAGTCAAAAATTAGGGTTTTATATATATATATATATATATATATATTATATTATTATTATTATAATTTTTTTTATATGTATGTGTGTGTATATAATAATTTATTCAGTCAAAAATTAGGATTATATTTTTTAATAATTCAACACTTTTGAGATTTTGGCAGTAACATCGTTTTGGATCTAATAATAATGCTGATGAATAATCAAAATCCACTCATGTGCTTAATTTCAAATGAGCGGAAATTAAATCAGATCCTCGTTCTGTTGGCGTTTTTCTCTGGAGACTGTTTATAATGTGGGTCTGCTTTCCTGTCGCCGGGTTTAATCACACTTCTGGTCTAAAAACTTCTGTTGTCTTTACAACTCGTTTCTCACTAGTGTTTGTCTTGAAGGCTGTGGCCGTTTCTCTGCAGATCTGATGACACAGTGAATCCAGAGTCTAACATAAGCGGATGTAATGGCTCTCAGACTCAGACGGCAGAAGTGTAGGTGTTCACTGAGTCTCTTGATTTCTGTCCTCCCTTTTTATGACCCAAACTAACGAGTGCCCAGAGACCCTCTTCCTGAACAATGCACACCTTGAGCATCATCGCCATCACGGAGAGAGAAGAAGCACAATGAATCTGACCTTCACCTGTACTAAGACTACAATGAGCCACATCAGCTTATTATCACATGAAGTCAGAGTAGGACTGTGATGAATTATAAAACGCAGAGTTCTGACTCTGGTATAATCGGGTGATCTGAGTTTGAGGCCATTGCAAAATGACACACCTGTAACCATGAGTCATGCTATTATATATTGATATTATATATTTTGTATATTAATGAGCCATGCAAGTACTCCTACTTAACTGTACTATATCATTTTAATATTGGATGTTTATTGATTTTTTTTGGCCATAACATGAACATAATTGTTGTTTTATCATATCAGCCAGAATTGTAATATTACATAGTTTTAATTTTAATTTTGTGTCAATAATTGTCACAAATGAATTTTTATTCAACTCCTGTGTCATCATTTTACTGTACACAGACACACACACACACACACACACACACACACACAGACACACAGATAATAAATTAATAAATTAGATAGTAAATTTTAATTGTATAGGCATACTTTTTGGTGTAAATAGTAGGTTGTGTCATTTTAATTTATATATAAATATGTATAATTTATGTAGACAAAATAGTAGACCTATCTATGCAATATGTATATTAATTAAACATACAATTTGAATGCATTATATGTAATCTTTATTATTATTGTATTATTATTGTATTTCTATGTTGTTTATATATTTATATAATTTATTATGACAAAACAGTAGTCCTTTATAATTTTAATATTGGCATTTTATTTTATTTTATTTTTTAACCATAATTTTATAGCCATTTTTTTTACTGTTACTACAGTTTTGTTTAATGCGTAGTGCGTCCTCTCTTAACCATGTTAAATCACTGTAATGTGTGGCGTATTGCTTCTCACATCTGTCATGTTGTTCTGGTTTGTTCCTGACTTAAACTTTCTCGGTGTGTCATGTGAGTTTCTGCTGCTGGGTGTGACAGCAGGTTTATTATCATGCATCACCAGCAACTACCATCATATTCTGATGCAATGACAGCTGTACTGACCCGAGTCCTGACGGCCCGCTGCTTTAGCAGAGAGAGACCAAACAGAGCTTTTTTAGGAAAGTGTCACACCTTCCAATTTAGCATGTGCTCCGCGCTGAGAGTGCAGCGGTTTGATGTCAAGACGTGCCAGGAGTTTGTCCTTGGTGCGGAAGATGACAGCGCAGTTGTTAGCTATTGTTTTTAATGGTTTTAGCACTACTCAAGCAGAAAAACCTACCGTCCTCTACAGCTACAACAGAGGAAGAAACAGTAAGGGAAATAAAACAGACCTGCAATGACTTTATTAGCCTTGATCTCAATGAGTCAGTAAACTGCTGACAGCAAACAACTCTTCGTGTGTTTGTGCAATGTTGGTGTGTGTTTAAACATGCTGCTGTTCATTTTCTCACTCATCATTAGGTGTGACAGTGATGGTTTAATGAGAGCATGTAGTATTCACACTCATTAGGATGTGCATCCGCTTAGATTAAGATCAGCTCCCAGAAGGCCTATAAACAGACCTTTACTCAATTAAAGCGTGACAGGAGGAAATGATGCCCATCATGGTGGCATTTTTCCACAGGTTTTGTTGCTAGAAAGATGCTAGTAAGTGAAATTCAAAGGTTTCTGTTAATGCTCATTAAAGATGCAACAACTAATGGATAAACTGATATTTAAAATAAATGCCACCGAATTTGATAATCGATTAGTTGAGTCTTTTGCAGTGTGCGTTGGGAAAATCTGTCATAGAATGTAAAGTAAACAGTGAACTTATTGAAAAACGAATTTCTAAGAAATGAAAAGATTTACTGCTAATGCATTTTCATTTTGCAAACAACACATCCAAAAAGTAAGCGTGTGATAAAATGTATGTCACAAATAATTATGTTTTTCTGTTTTGGTTGTTGCTGAGATTTAAATTTAGGTTTTAAAATAGCTATACATGCAACTTAAAATCCTATATTCAACATATGTAATAAAAGTTTAAATGAACAGTAACTGTAATTGGATATAGTGGCATCATATGTATGTATCTAATAAAACAGACTCTTCCGCTCACCAAGGCTGCATTTATTTGATCAAAAACACAGTAAAAACAGTGAAATATTTTTACAAATTAAAACAACTTTCTGTGTGAATATATTGCAAAATGCATTTCATTCCTGTGAATTTTCAGCATCATTACTCCAGTCTGCAGTGTCACATGATCCTTTAGAAATCATTCTAATATGTTGAAGATTCTAATCAAGTCAGTTGTGCTGCTTCAGATTTTTGTGGAAACTGATATATTTTATTTTTCAGGATTCTTTGATGAAAAAAAAAGTTCAAAAGAACAGCATTTATTTGAAATAGAAATCTTTTGTAATGTTATAAATGTCTTTACTGTCACTTTTGGTCAGTTTAATGTGTCCTTGATGAATAAAAGTATTAATTTATTTTTAAATGAACACTCATATATACTGCTCCGTGCTCACAGAAGTAAAGACCTATTTTTGGACTTTCATATTGAAGCCGAACAGAGCTGTGTAACATGGCAGTAGCATCTCTGGAGATTTAATAAAAGTTCAAAGTCGGAAGGTCCACACTGTCTGCTGACATCTCACCTTCAAAGCGTGATGGATCTGCGGTGCTTTCCAGGAAAGCAGAACCGCTTGTGCTCAGTGACCCAAAGTTAAACGCTAATGAGACATCAGCAGGGAGCTGTTCAAATCCATGACTTGCAAGACTGATCTTTCTTTTCTCTTTTATTGCAGAATAAGGTTCTGAACATTGATGGTGTGAGAGTTAAACTACAGGTGAGCATCATTTTCTGCATGCAACTTTTTAATGATAGCTTAAAGGAATAGTTCACCTAAAAATGAACATTTGCCAAAAATGTGCTCACCCTCAGGCCATCCAAGATGTAGATGAGATGAGAAATGTAGCATTGCATCACTTGCTCACCAATGGATGCTCTGCAGTGAATGGGTGCCGTCAGAATGAGAGTCCAAACAGCTGATAAAAACATCACAATAATCCACAAGTAATCCACAGCACTCCAGTCCATCAGTGAACATCTGGAGAAGACAAAAGCTGAAACAAATCCAGCATTAAGACTTTTTTAACTAAAATACAATTCCATAATCCATAATAACGCTTCCTTTAGTGGAAAAGTGGTCTGGTCTGAATCAGGAGATCCAAACAAATTGGTCAACTTTACCACTGTCAAACCAGCATAGACCAGAACAGATCTTCTGGCTTGTCTAAGCTGGCCTTTTCTATAAGCTTTAAATGTAATATCTCATACAAACATGTACCATTTTAACTTTTTGTAAAGTACTGTGAATAATACGAATGAAATCAGTTACTAAAGCTCATACTTTTAATGTAACAAGCTTTTAAATTTGATACCATCTGTCGGCATTTGTATCATCTCAATAAACTCTTGAGTAATTAGATGATTTAATTACCTCATTTCAAAGCAACTCCAATTATCTGTGCTGTTTTAAATACTAAGGTGATACATTTGGATGTTCCCATGTTGCTTCGCTCCCTCTGGCTAATATTGACTAAGTAAACAATGAACGCGCATCTCGAGGATCAGCTCTAATGAGAGTTTAACGAGGCTGTCATTAATCTTTAACGCTCCATTAGCTGCATGCCTCGCACTAGTGAATGGAAACACACAGACTCGACTGCGTGTTTGATTTAACCAGACAGACAGCTTCATAACCCGCTCACCTGCACGCATAATCAGAGAATAGCATTACAGTAGATGGTTTTTAAGGTCGTCAGTGTAATTATTGTGGACCGTTGAACAGGGTGAGTGGTTGATAGGTGAATTAATGTCGATAGGGATTATTAAAAACGCTGTGTCAGGTCAAATGTGCAAACATCTTAAAGCGAAACTAATCTTCCCACATGCTTACGTTGTGAATCCGTGTTTTCACACATCAAGATTGGACCTCATTACTGAGGTTGTGCATGAATCTCGTTTTTAAAGTGATAGTTCATCCCAAAATACTTAAAAAAAAAATAATTTATGTAAAAATAAGCTTAGAAAAGAGATTCTGTTTGAATCAGACGTAAAACAGTTGTGCTCAGATGTTCAGTTCTAAAATCAGATGTTCTTTTTCTTTGGTGACTCTGTTTGTTTTAGAAATTGCTCTTATTGGGTGCAACGTGCTTGAGTTTGAGACACAAAAGCATGTTTTTCTTTCTCAAAATGTTTAAAACATAAACTTTGGAAAATATGTATAATATAGTATCTTAGTTTAGTGTCTTGACAAGTTTGGATTTCTGAGACGCAGAAGCGTAGACAGAGTCGGCATCCGATTTAAAAATTAAATCACTCATTTTTATTCATAAGTTCACACTTCATATTGGCTTCAGAGAGTCACCATTGTGTTGTTATTTTTATTTATTTAAAATGTAAAAAATTTACATTTAAATTTATGCATTTGGCAGACAGTTTTATCCGAAGAGATTTACATTGCATTCAAGGCATTAATTTCTATCAGTTTTACATACCCTGGGGATCAAACCCATGACCTTTGGGTTGCTAGTGTTGTACTATTAAACATATAGATTCCAAAAGAGGGTTTTCACAGTGATGCCATTAATGAGATATTTTTACTGAACTATTATTAATGAACTATTATGTGCTCACCCTCGGGCCATCCAAGATGTAGATGAGTGTATTTCTTCATCAGATTTGGAGAAATGTATTCCATGAGTTGCTCAGCAATGGATCCTTTGCAGTGAATGGGTGCCGTCAGAATGAGAGTCCAAACAGCTGATAAAAACATCACAATAATCCAAAGTACTCCACACCACTCCAGTCCATCAATTAATGCTTTAGAAGCCAAAAGCTGTGTGTTTGCAAGAAACAAATCCATCAAGACTTTAACTAAAATATGAGTCCATAATCCATAATACATTTATATTTCCATTTATTCATTTGACAGATGCTTTTATCCAAAGATGATCATAAGATATTTTACAAAAGGGATAAAGGGATAAAGGATAATAAGTGAATAGAAAAAGTAAAGGCATAGAATTTTTTTTTATGAAGAGGCAGTTAGATGCTCATGGAAGAGATGAGTTTTCAGATGTTTACATTTGCATTTAATCATTTAGTCGACACTTTTATCCAAAGCGACTTACAAATGAGGAGAACAATAGAAGCAATCAGACAAACGAGAGAGCAACAGTAAACAAGTGCTGTGACAAGTCTCAGTTAGTCTAGCACAGTACACATAGCTAGTTTTTTTTAATAGAATGGAATAGAATAGAACAGAATAGAATAGAATAGGTAGGTGCTAGTATTAGTTTGTCAGGTGTTGGCGAAAAAGATGTGTCTTTAGACATTTTTTTAAAATGGCCAAAGACTCAGCTGTTCAAATTGAGATCGGGAGGTCAGTCCACCAGCTGGGCACAGTCCAGGAAAAGGTCTGTGATAGTGATTGTGTGCCTCTTTGGGATGGCACCACAAGGCGTCGTTCACTTGCAGAATGCAAGCTTCTGGAGGGCGCATAAGTTGAACTAGCGAGTTTAGGTATATTGGTGTAGCGCCAGTTGTTGTCTTGTAGGCAAAAATCAGTACCTTGAATTTGATGCGAGCAGCTACTGGTAGCCAGTGTAAACTGATGAAGAGAGGTGTAATGTGAGCTTTTTCCGGCTCATTAAAGACCCCTCTCACTGCTGCATTCTGGATCAGTTGCAGAGGCTTGATAGTACATGCGGGAAGGCCCGCCAAGAGAGCATTACAATAGTCCACTCTGGAGAGAACAAGAGCTTGGACAAGGAGTTGTGCAGCTTGCTCTGATTGGAAGGGTCTAATCTTCCTAATGTTGTATAAGGCAAATCTGCAGGACCAGGCCGTTGTAGTAAATATGGTCTGTGAAGCTTAACTGATCATCGAACACAACTCCAAGGTTCCTGGCTGTCCTGGAAGGAGTTATGGTTGATGAACCCAGCTGTATAGAGAAGTTGTGATGAAGTGCTGGGTTGGCTGAGACCACGAGCAGTTCTGTATTAGCAAGGTTGAGTTGAAGGTGATGGTCCTTCATCCAGCTAGAAATGTCTCTCAGA